CCAGAGATATGATCAGAAGCCCCAGAGTCCATGACCCATGTTCCAAGAGTACTAGATTGCGACACACAAACAAAAGAATTACCCGCAACAGACACATCAGGTTATGCAACCGAAACTACTTGTGGAGACGTTTGCTTATTTGAGCGATACTGAAGAAACTTATTATATTCTGCCTGAGCAATATGAGCATTATTGGATGGTTAATTAGGTTGAGCACTATATGCTACTGGTGAAGATGTCTGTTTACTTGCGCGATTTCGAAGGAACAAATTATATTCCTTTAGAACAATAGGATCATAACTGGGTGGTGGACCATGCAAAATATAACATATGTCACGAGTGTGTCCAGGTTTATGACAATGACTACACTTGGATCGAGGTTTGCCGAAACGCCCTCCTTATCGAAGATTCTCCATAGACTGGTATGTACGCTTTTCTATGGTTTGAGATGCGAGAATAGAGGAGTCAACAATGGGAGATGAACTTTGTGACTGGGAGATGCAACAAGACGAAGCAGAGGAGAGAATAACTCATAATTGAGGGACTTGCTAGAATCTGGTTAGTTATGGTCAGTAGGAAGTCCAACAAGTGTAAGAACTAGAAACAATGTCTGCCTTTGCTCTTGTTGCTTTTCCACGTTTGTAGTGATAGGCATTAATGTTTCAAATTCCTCCAGGACTGCCTGTACTTGTCCCAAGTAAGTAGACATATCGGATTCTTGTTTCTTTAAGTTGGTCATCCGAGATATCACATCATAGAATCGAGATATGCCATTAGTGTATAAAGCACGTGCCTTTTCCCAAACTAAATAACATGTTTAGGATGGGCGTAACAAGGGCATCAACTTAGAATCAATAGAGCGCCAAAGGAGACTACATAATTGGGCATCCACTTTCTCCATTGTGCTTTGGCTTTTGGACCATTGTCACTAGACTTTGTCTTTTCATCTATGACACAAGCATTGTTTGTTAAGTCATCTTAAACACCTTGACCCTTGCACCACAACTCAACTGGTATGTACGCTTTTCTATGGTTTGAGATGCGAGAATAGAGGAGTCAACAATGGGAGATGAACTTCTTTGTGACTGGGAGATGCAGCAAGACGAAGCAGAGGAGAGAATAACTCATAATTGAGGGACTGGCTAGAATCTGGTTAGTTATGGTCAGTAGGAAGTCCAACAAGTGTAAGAACTAGAAACAATGTCTGCCTTTGCTCTTGTTGCTTTTCCACGTTTGTAGTGATAGGCATTAATGTTTCAAATTCCTCCATGACTGCCTGTACTTGTCCTAAGTAAGTAGACATATCGGATTCTTGTTTCTTTAAGTTGGTCATCCGAGATATCACATCATAGAATCGAGATATGCCATTAGTGTATAAAGCACGTGCCTTTTCCCAAACTAAATAACATGTTTAGAATGGGCGAAACAAGGGCATCAACTTAGAATCAATAGAGCGCCAAAGGAGACTACCTAATTGGGCATCCACTTTCTCCATTGTGCTTTGGCTTTTGGACCATTGTCACTAGACTTTGTCTTTTCATCTATGACACAAGCATTGTTTGTTAAGTCATCTTGAACACCGTGACCCTTGCACCACAACTCAACCGTAAAAGCCCAAGCTAAATGTTTGAACTTCCCATTAATGGTTCTCAAGTGATTGCAAGGCTTGAACTTCTAATCCCTATATTTTTGGAGCCAAAAACATCACCCCCAAAAGACATTTATTTATTTATTTATTTTTATTTTTTATTTTTTGGCTTGAAAAGAGTAAGAAACTTGCTGGAAACTATAGTAGCCTAAAAGTTCTGATCTCGCCGGAAACTGCCGGAAAATCACCGTAACCCTAACTCTGGTGATTGGATCTAGAGATAATTGCCCAGGGTCTGGTTGAAAATATTGGGCGACCCAACAGAAGAAAATTGCTCGAAAAAAATGATCACTCACGCGCCGGCGCGTGAGCAGCTCTCGCCAAAAAATTCCCTCCGATCGGCGCGTGGGGGCGCATGGGAGGGTATTTCTCGGTGGGTCTGGCTGGGTTTGGTCGCCTAAGCTTCCCAAGCCTAGTGACGGTGTTGTCTTTTGCACAACACCTTCAGAATGAAAGATGACACAAATTAGTCCCACAGTCTTCATCGAAATTTGACACAGTGACTTGAAATTCTCACCAATGATCTGATACCATGTGAGAAATATATTGGAAGAATATTATTGAATTGTGTAAGTTAATTGTTACATTGAGACCCTATTTATAGACACTACATTGGAGCCCTTTTCCAACTAGGATTCTTATTCCTATTCCTGTTCTAAGAAGGAAATACTTATAAATACTTATTTCCATTCTAACAGTTTTTATTGATGAGAAATGGGATAGAGTTAATGTTAGGCTGGAGGTTTGGAGTCCAAAGGGTTCATGTTGAGCAGGACTAAAACAGAATATTTGGAGTACAAATTTAGTGTTGCGCTGGATGAAGCAGACACGGAAGTAAGCTTGTTGGTTGCAATATAAACTATTATCAAGAGAGATAGTTTTGAGTATCTCGGGTCCATACTCGTGGGTAGTGGAGACATCAATGATGATGTCACACATTGCATAGGGGCGACATGGATGAAATTGAGGCTTGCCTCTAGAATCTTTTGTGATGAGAAAGTACTGCTTAAACTTAAATTTAAGTTCTACAGAGTGGTGATTAGACTGTGCTTATTGTAGTGGAAGGAGTCTTGGCCAGTCAAGAACTCACATGAATAGAAGATGCATGTTGCAGAGGTAAGTATATTGAAATGGATGTGTGGGTATACAAGGAGCTGACAAGAATAGGAATGATGTTATCCTGGAGAAGGTGGGAGTGGTCTCTATGGAGGACAAGATGAGGGAAGTGACACTGCGATGGTTTGGGGATTTGAAAAGGAGGTACTCTGAAGCTTTTGATAGAAGTAGGTTGAAAAGTATTAGGGAGAGGTGATTAGATAGGACATGACGCAACTTCATAGTACCGAGGACATGACGCTATATAGGAAGGAGTGGAGGTTGCGTATTAGGGTAGAAGATTTGTAGGGTAGAGTTTTGTCTTGTCGTGCGTAGGTCTAGGCTTGTTATTGCACGTCGTAGTACTAGCCATACACTTGTAGTTCTTTTCATATGTTGTTTATTGTATTTTGATTATCGCACTATTTTGTTGTTGTTATTGTTACTTTCTTGTAGACTTTACTCTTTTTTTATGGACAACTATGCTTTCGTCCTCTTTGCTTGAATTTGATGCACTTGAGCTAAGGGTCTTTTGGAAACAGCCTCTCTACCTCTACGAGGTAGTGGTAAGGTCTGCGTATACTTTATCCTCCCTAGACCCTGAATTTCATTGGGTATGTTGTTATAAAAGTTGTTAGTTATGGGTGGAATGAGTTATATTAGCGTCTTAAATTTAAGATTCAAAACTTTTAGAGGAAATTAATATCGTACAAATATTTTGAGTTTATTGTTGCTTTAACTTTTTTCTGTTTGAAATTTGTATTGTATGTTCAATATTAAGTTGACAATTTTAATTTGATCTGGTAATGTATATAATTCAATCATATATAAATTCAGATACCCATTTAAACTAGTAATGCTTTAATGTTTCTTAATCAATCCACTTATTGTGAATTAAATAGTTTCTATTAGTGTAGCACTATGTGAAACTACACATTAAAGACCTGGCTCAAGCTCGGTGTGGCTCAAGCTCGATTGCACTTCGGCAAATCTCGGTTAAACTTGACTTGGCTCAACGCCCAGGCCTACCTGTCACATACAAAAAACCTGCTATTTAAGTGGAGGGTAACAGAGCAGGCTTATTCTCCAGAGTTTCGAACCGTGTGTGGTTGGTTCTCGGGGATTTATTGTTTATCAATATTAAAAAAGAAACCACCTATTCACACTTTGCGCCTTGGAATCACAGCTATGGAAGTTCTATATCAACGTTCTTAAGGTCAAATGGGCATTGCCAAGATCAGTTGAGAAGGTGATGTCAGGCCGGTCCATCTCAGGGCTGTGCACAAGAAATGGAAGACTTGGGAGTTGGGACTCGGTTCCTGCATTAACTTGTGGTTACTTTGAAAGTAGAGAGTTTAATGATCTTCGAAAGTAAACTAAACAATTTTGGATTGAAGTGCAGACGTCTCTTTTCGGCATTTTGGTGTGAAATGAGCATTTTCAATGATGTTTTCTCAGTCTTGAGTCTCCTAAAGTAAAACTTTTAATATGGTATTGGTGACTTTGAAGCATTTATTTTAGTAGCTTCCATGTTACAATGCCCTGTGCACAAAGACATGAAAAGTTCTTGACAAAAAACTTTCATCTTGAAATAGTACTATTTCTACTACTTGGATGAAAATGTTCAGGAAGGTTCTGATTGGTTGTAGTGGTATTTCCAACGACATGTTAGGATGGGAAAAGATGTTAGGCCTGGTTAAGAGGGTAAGTTTTGTAGACCTACTCGGCATCTAATTTTCTGAAGATTGCACAACTTACCGGAGGTTTTGTCTCTGCATTTATGCTTATTTTAGCGGCAAGTAATTGTTGGATTCATCTTATAGAATGAGATATGAAGGAGAACTATTTAGCCTTTATCATTGGGGATCATCCTATTTGACAATATTCTTTTCAGCTCAAATCCTAATCAGGAGTGGTACCAGTAGGGAAAAAATTAAGTCATTAAATATTTAGTTTTCCCTTATTATTGTAGTATGTCTATGCCTAGTTGTGATACCTCCTATTGATGTTGTATGGCAAATGTATCTTGTCTCTTTTTTTCTTCTGCCTTAAGAATTTTTTGAAGGGTTGGGTATGCTATGATCCTTTATTTCCCTTTTACCTATTAACATATTTTCCATGAAGTTAGCTCGTTTTCTTCAACATTCTTGCTGCAATAACTAAATTTATTATCAATTTTTCTTTTTTATTGATCAACTTTTTTGTGACATAAAATGTCTGAATTGTGCTAAAATATAAAATCTTATATTCTTCATAGATGATATGAAAGTCAATGTACAACTTTATAATGAAAGAGCAATGTCTGCATCAATTCCTACACGAGTAACATGTACTGTTGCTGAATCCGAAATTCCCATGAGGGCATCAGCTACTCCACAGTATGTTCATTTCTCTTACTTATGATTGTTATGTCATATATTAATAAAAAGACTCCTTTAATTTTGTCACATAAATTAATCCTGGAATTAACAGCTCTAAAGTTTGAGTTCTGATTGAAAAGTCACATATGTGCAGATAAAGTTTTAGCTGTTTTCATTTCTGAAAAGTCACATATGTGCAGATAAAGTTTTAGCTGTTTTCATTTGTTGTCTGTGATAAATAGATCAAAACCTTTTTGGTTGACAGGTATAAGAAGGTTTTGTTGGATAATGGTCTTACTGTGCAGGTAAATTTAGCTTTAAGTTGCCAACACTTTAATGGATGCCATTGACTTTGTAGCTTTTTTTTTTGGGGGTGGGGGTGGGTGGGGATCTTCATAAGCTCCGTCGTTCCACTAGCTACTACAGGAGAAACAAAAATGAAAGAACACAAATATCAAATCTTTCTTAGTTTGGAGGTGTCATTCCTGTCTCTTCCACCTCTCTCTTACCTTTAAAAATGTACTGCATAGTATTTGGATCGGACTGAATACTTTGGTTTCTACTGGATCAAGTATGTAGTGTCCATTATGACAAATCTCAATTATGTATATCGAGCAATATGTATTAGTTGCAGTTGAAGTCGATGAGCAAGTTCTTCACTTTCTGGTTTACATCTTTCCCTTTTTTCTAGGTACCGAAACATATCGTAGAAGGAGACAAGATTATAGTTAACACCATTGACCACTCTTACATGAGCAGGTGAGTGCATGATTGTCTTGTAAAAATAATGATTTAACTTATGCAATAGAGTCTATCCATTTAAGTCTTTATCAAATTCCACAGATAGTAATTATTTTCTTTCTTATGAAGGAAAGTCTTTTTCCAAGATTCTGTATAATTTTATCTATGAAATTGAGTTACCTTTGGGAAAATTGTAATAATAATAGAAATGCCTATGAAGGTGGGTTCAGAAAGATAAAACTAAATCAACGGATCATTCATCCAAATTTCATTTTGTTCTTTGTCCTATATCAGCATTTGTTACTTCCATCTGTCTATTGTGAATATGCTTTGCATACCATTTTACCAAGTTAGTGTTGACTCATCACCTCTTTTTTACATCTCTTTAATCCCAGAGCTTAACAGTGGCATTTTATTGGTTTTCTTCATTGGACCGGCAAACTATTGACAAGTTTGAGTTACAGTGGGAGTTTATTAGAATCCAAATTATAGTAGAGATGTTTTTAGCAGAGTATTTACATGAGTTGAAAAAGCAGTGTTAAAGCTTTTCCTCAAGTCCTAGCTTATTGTGGGGGAAAGAGTATATTATTGGAGTAAAGTGTAGTTGATGTTACTGGCTCCTGCTCTGTCTAAGCATATTTGGTCATATGGCTTTTTGGGGGACAATTTTTATTGTAATAAACATCTATCACCAGAATATTCATATTTAGAGATGTTGCTGATAATATGTTTTTGGTGTGTTTATGTGGTCTGAAATGTTAAATTTACCAATGTAGATGAAATGCAATCAGCTATTTTTATTAAAGCTTAATTCTACTTTAAAATAAGTGAACTTTCACTGCTGCTCTGCATTGCTGGACAATTAATTTTATTCATCCGAAAAAAATAAATTGAAATATGGTCTTGTAAATCCAATCAAAATCCAGTGGTTGTCTTCATTTACATGAAGTCTCTTAATCTCTTCCACCCCATTCCTCCTTTGCGGCGCCTGCAATTCATCAGGTAACGAACCATTATGTATGATGAAAGAAATAAGAAATATGACATAACAAATCATTTCCTTTTTTAGTTCTAAGACCACGTGCTTGATTCTTCAAAATGCAATGCAGCCATTATGAATGCAAAGAGTCTAGACATATTATATTTCTATATGTCAAAGGTGGTTTCTTTGCATGCAGCCATGTTTAAATCGCAAAGATTGATGGTCTAAAAGAAATGTTTTAAGTTGCTTGTATACATGCACCGAGAGTATAAAATCATAATTAGATCAAGGAGATGAGGCGGACGCCAAATTGAAGAGCCCCGAGCCTAAAGGGTAAAAAATATTGACAAAAATATCAAAAGGATAAATGAAAACTTTTAAACCAAAACGATAAAATTGCTAGTGATGTAGCGATTTAGGTGGTGCCGTTAATGTAAATCGCCGCAGTAGCTGTGATTTGTAAAATTTATTTTTAAATTTATTTTTAAACAAATCGTTGCTGCCAAGGAAGCGATTTGGTAAATGATTTTTTTAAAAATTATCAATAACTACCTGTGCACACTTAATTTTTTTTTAATTATTTTTTGAAGTAAATTGCTGCCTTGGGCAGCGATTTTACTTTATATATTTTTTTAAAATTTTGAAGTAAATCGCTGCCCAAATTTTTTTTTAAAAAAAAAAATTAAGAAAAATCGCAGCTAAATTTACTTCAAAATAAAAAAAAAGAAGTAAAATCGCTGCACAGGCAGCGATTTACCATTTTATATTTACAAATTTTACAAAGATTTGTTAAAAAAATTAAATTTTACAAATCGCTGCTATTGCAGCGATTTTCCTTAACGCCATCGCTACATCACTAGCGATTTTACCGTTTTGATTTTAATTTTTTTCATATACCCTTTTAGATTTTTTTTATCAATATTTTTTACCTATTAGGCTTTGGGACTCCCAAATTGAAAGTGACATAGAAGAAAATAAGTAGAACATGTGGTGCTTATTAGCATTTGTTAGTGTGTCTATTGTTGCAAACCAAATAAAAAAGATCTATAATATAGGGGTCGTTTGGTAGAGTGTATTAGAAAAATGTAACGCATGCATTAGGTGTGTGTATTGGTAGTACCTTGTTTGGTACACTTTTTCATGTCATGTATAACTAATGCAAGCATTAGTTATACTTTTTATTGTGTATTAAGTTGTGTACTTATACCAAGAAATTGTAGGTATTAGTAACACACAACATTTTAACTCTTACATTAGATTAAATAATTACAAATCTAGCTTTAAAGCCTTTTCATTTTCTTTATTGTTATAAGTTTTTGGTTTTCGGTGTCTTTTAACTTTTTGGTATCTTAATAAGCTTTATGACCTATTAAGTATCTTTTTTTTTCTAAATAAAAAAATCTAATGTCAGTATAATTTAACCAAAATTTTTATTATTGTGACGGTAAATTTGATTAAAAAAAATTATTTGCCAATTTTTCACAAAAATTATTTGCCTACTTTTCAATAAGCTTTATGACTTCTTAAGTATTTTTGTTGCAAAGGAAGTGTACAAACAAAGTGTGAAGGGTTTATTTGTAAATATATATTCTTAAATAGAAATTATGCAAGATTTTGTTATTTCTAATACATCAAATCAAATAATGCATAAGAAATAATGCTTGCATAACTAATGCAAATATTACTAGTGCTTGCACTATTACTGCACTTTATCTTACATTATTCTTATACACTCTATCAAACAAGCCAGGATGATCAAAGGATAACATTCTAATTAAACCAACAACATGGTAAACTACATGATACAATTGGAGCTAAATTGTAAATCATCTGACAACGTAATTGATAATTTCACCAACTATACTTACAACCTATCACAGTCCTACACCTGTCCACAATAACATAAACACCTACATTTAACTCATCCCAACAACAACTAACTGCTAAACTAAGCTGACAATTAATTAGTAAAGTCAAGTTAATAACTCCATTACCCTCCCTATTTCGATAATCTAGATGTGATGAAAATATTAACGCCAGGTTCGGACAACAGTAAGGTTTTCCCAAAGCTTTGGTTAGTAGGGAGAGTTGGCAAATAGTAACTTTTCAAACTTAATTGAACATTTAGACAAGTTTCAAAATATTGGTATATTAGATTCCATATATGACACTTAATATTCTTTCAAAATATACAACATTTTACTCTCAAGTTTTTGATACTACACTTTAGTCCCTACACATCCAACACAATGTGGAATTATTTTTTATTTTTTCATTTATTAAAAAGTTTTATTGGAGAAAATCTCTCCAAGAAGAAGCAAAAATGCTCCCATTTTTGCGGTCGATTTAGGTGATTCGCATGACTTTTTCGACGATATTTTTTCTTTCACGGGTGAAATCATCATAAATCTAGTCATTGTTTCAATTTTTACACCATTTTTTCGAAGTGTCAAAGAAAAAAAATTCCGTCATTTCTAAAGTTTGCAAAAATCTTTCAAAATCACTTTTAGACCATCTTTAGTTGTTTAGAAGGACAATAAAATCATTTTATTTTATTTGAGCTTAATCTGAAATGATTCTCATTTATTTGCATTTTGTACAGATTTTGTACCATGCATCAACCAATAGATAATGATATCATAATCTAGTATCTATTAGTGTAGTCTATATATGGCAGTAGCTGAATATATTGTTGCTGGTGGTGACTATATGAGAGTCTGGAAGAGACTCCCAAAAGATGGTTTTGGAAATCTTTTAGTAAGGCTATAGTTCCTATTGCCTTGCGTCACAATGGTTCATATGACGATATGATTGCAAGTGTAATTGAGGTCGGTGAGCTATCTTGCGAGCCAGGAAACTTGGTGATAATCTATCAAATGAATGTGAGGGAAAAGTGCATCCCATATTCATAAAGAATGATAGGCATGTGAGCTTGTACATGATGGATGTTGCTATGTTGAGGATAAATGTCATTGCAAATTTTCCGACTGAACCAACGACTTCTTTTAACAAGAACGACTCGGTTGAAAATGAGAACTTGGATGATCAACCAGATGAGAGATTTTGTGATCAATCAAATGAAAATTTGGGTGATGATTCAATGAAAGGGCATGATCGTTCATTGGATGTTGAAGATCAGCCAGTAGATGCGGAAGATTTCGAACATTTTGAAGAAGATGAGGCAGAGCTGAAATTGAGATGACAACCCAACCATACTTTCTTAGATGGAACTAATTTTTACATGGACCAAATATTCAGTTCCAAGAGTGAGATTTTGCTACAGTGAAGAGTTGTAGTAAATACATAAATGTGAAATGTGTGTCTCGTATTTGTGCGTGGATGATGCGAGTAAAAAATATGAGTGTTCAGATAGATTTTGTATCTACAAATATATTGGCGATCAAAGTTACGGCGTTGAACATGCCATCAGCAGCCATAGAAAAATCCCGACCAAAGATAATGTGTCACTTTGTGTAAATCTTTATTGCGATGGCAAGGGTCCAAATATTAAAGAGATTCAGAAGATTGTTTTTAATATTTTTCATTGTAGTCCAAGCTATTGGAAATGTTGGAAGGGAGGTTTGACTGCCATGGAAATGTGTCAAGGGACAGCGGAGCACGAATATTCATGCTTACCGACCTTTTCATATATGTTTGACACTCTTAATGTTGGTTCTATCTATTCCATCACGGTGAGAAAGGATACTCATATATTAATGTTTTACTTCTTAGCTTTTGGTGCTTGCATTAGAGGATTTTCTCATATGAGAAAGGTAATTGCGGTCGAGGGCACTCATTTACATGGTAAATACGAGTATTGCTGAGTGTCGTTGCACAAGATACGGAGAATCATATTTATCCAATTGCCTTTTTTGTCATGGACAAAGAGAATGATGCATCTTCGACATTCTTCATTGAAAAGTTTGAAGGATATTCTGGTCGATGAATCAGATTTATGTTTTAATTCATGTCACGACCGGGGAGCACTCCCTAGACGTAAACGGCGTCTTCATCCTCGAAGAAGACTTAGAATAGACCTTAGCATTCATCAATACATGTCATATGTCAAATTACGGAAAATTTAAAACATTTACATAGTGAAGTGTACTTAGACTTCTCACATATCATATAGGGTGTTTACATAGACTCCTCATTTAGGAAGTATAAATAGACTTATCCTTTAGCATAAGCAAATCATATAAGAGTCTAATATCTTGTCTCACATATTAACCATCTAAAGAGTACACATTTGGACATAGCCATTACAAGTACAATATGGCACATATAGGCTCACATCAATAGTCTCAAGAAATAAGGAAAGGAACAAATGTATTTAGACATAAAAATCCTACTAAGATAGAAAATGGCTCCATCCTCGAACATTGAGGACTCACCAACAACTTGGGAAAGATGTCCAAGTCTTCTTGCAATTGGCCTCAAATCACCTCAACAGCCCGAACCTACATATTAGTAGAAACATAAAGAATATAGGTTAGTACAACCACTTGTACTAAGTATAGAAACATATGCACATAAACCATTTGAAGACATGCATAGAAAGGCCATTTCCTTAAAAACATGTTAATTCATTTTTAAAACCTTTATGCACACACACAAAAGCATATACAAGACAAGGATCACAACAACATAAGATGTGTTCATAAACAAGGAAAACATCATCATATAGTCATCTCAACTTTTCATATTCATTAGTTCATATCAACGTACAAGACCCTAACCAACAATCTCATCCCAAGCCT